TGGCGAATCTAGACCAATAGCGGATATTATACAAACCGTTGAGTTTAAACGAGCACTGGACCTACTAAAAACCATTTATTATTTAATGGCCATAAAAATTATATTTATATTAATGATGTCTCCAAAGTTCAGCGAATTTTTCGCAGAAAAATAACTTATCAGAAAACACGTACCCGCCGTTCGATGCGCCGCTCCTCGATGAAAACAAGCTTAAGCAATGGCGTTGTCGAACGGTGCACACTCGGTAAGTAATCCTACAATTTTTTGTTTATAGCATAAACGAAATGCACGTAGGTAAAATTTTATCAATTTATGTTTATTATTGTTATTAACTCATTTAATATGACCAGTAACATAATTAGTCGTTTCTAATTACAAAATACGTACTATAGTATATTACGATATATCACGTGACCGGACGGCACCGAGAAACATCACGTGACACTCTTCGTACGCGACCGCCGTAAAATGTGCCGCTCCACGACGAAAACAAGCTTAATTAAGCAATGGCGGCTGGAACGGTGCAGAGTCGGTAAGTAGTCCTATGACTTTTTAGTTTATAGCATTTTTTAAATAAGTTCCCCTCACATATTCTGTGTTTTGGACATTTCTAGCATGTATGTCTCTATTGTAAATAAAATTCAGAGAAAAAACGATGGTTGTTAGTTTATAAACAACTATCGGTCACAACAATGTAGATCACGTGCACGAGAGATCCCAGAGCACGTGATCTACATTACATCTACATTGTGACTACGTGATACTCGTGACTACCATTTTTATATTCCACAGTATTTCACTTTAATGAACATTAAAAAATGTCAACATGTAATAAATTTATCATTAATTAACATTCTGGCTTACAAATATTTCAGTCATGATAAAGCACGTAATAATACAAATAGTCACGTGACAAAATGTAGCGTTTATATTATAAATATAAATCTTACAAATGTATTATTCACGAAATAATTAAGGCGATTAATTTAAGATAAAAATTATATTCCAACGCAAATGATTCCACAAATAGTAACGCTGATCACGTGACCGCCGAAAAATCATTAATAATTCCATCAACTCAGAATACAGTAGAGCGTCGTTTATCCGAAAGTCGGTTATCCGAAAGAATTCCAGTTGGCAAATTAAAATTTTCGCAAGTGCTGTGGCGCTGCAATCTTTGGCTATGTCTTGGGCTACTCGAATATTTTACGTTTTTGATACTAAATTAACTTCTGAAGTATAATTTTTTATTGTTTTTTTATTTTTCAATATATTTATTTTGTTTGTACAAAATAAAAAAATAATTTTTAACGATACAATAGCCACGATTATTATTTTAAAAAGTTTACGTTAGGCTTAACATCGACGAAAATTCAACGCTAAGCGACACGCGACGGAAAAAAGTTTTAACATGGGATAGGTTAATATATTTTTTCGTACATAATCGGTTATCCGAAAAACAAGTTATTCGAACAATTGGGGACTGAGGTTGTTCGGATAACTTATTTGAACTGTTTGTAGCCCAAACAATAAAAATGAATTATTTTGTAACTATACACTTTTACTAATGAAATAAATTTGTAATATATATATAAGTTTATATAATACGAGGTCTGTTCAAAAAGTATCGGACTTTTATTTTTTCCGCTTTAACCAATGATGCGCAGGAGGCCTCTTTCGGTGGAGTTGTGGAGGGGACAGTCATGCACAGCCCTGAATTTTTTCTCGCCTGCAGGAAGCATCAGTCGTTGGCAATCGGCCTATGAGTGAGGACATGTAGCGAGCTCTCGCCGGATTCCACTTAGTTGGAAAATGACTGAACAACGTGAGTAATGATATTACATCAAATTTTGCCAAAAACCTTGGCGATACCCGAGTGTAAACCATTCGCAAGATTCAGCAGGCTTTCGGGGACGATTCTCGATGCCAAAAAAAGTGCGGCAGGTCCGCAGCAATATCAAGGTCATGTTGACAGTTTTTTCGACTCTCGTGGGGTGGTGTATCGTGAGTACGCATCACAAGGCCAAACCATCGCAAAGGAATTTACCAGGAGGTCCTTCGTCGTCTTTTCGTTGCTGTGCGACGCAAACGACCGGATCTGTGGTCGATCAAAACTTGGCAGCTCCATCGTGATAACGCATCCGCCCATTCTGCACATCTGATTCGGGCTTTCGTCGCCAAACACAATACTCCTGTGGTTCGTCACGCTCCGTACTCTCCCCATGTGGCTCCGTGTGACTTTTGGCTATTTCCCAAGCTGAAAATGACGCTAAAAGGAACCCGATTTTAGTCGAGAGAAGACATTGTGTGGAATGCGAAGGACCGGCTGATGGCCATTCCAAAAGATGCGTTCCAGCAATGTTTCTAGCAATGGCAGGAACGCTGGGAGAAGTGTATATACTACCAAGGAGACTACATTGAAGGGGATTAGGGTTTTGTACCTCAAAATCAATAAATGTATTTTTGCCGACCAAAGGTCCGATACTTTTTGAACAGACCTCGGATATAATATGTATGTAATCTATATCATATATAATAAGTTTGTAATACAGTCGACCCCCCTATAATTACGGTCCCTATAATTACGATTCCTATAAAACTACGAAAAAATTGTGACCGGTATCAGTAAAAAACAGTAAAAAACCCCCTATAATTACCTGAAACGTCATCGGGCAGCCGAACTACTTTCCCGCCGTCCGTAGCGCCAACTACAGAGAGATTTCTATCGTCTGGACCAGTGATTCTCAAACTTTTTCGATCCACCGCCCCCTTTGTTCCATAAAGTTATACCCAACGCCCCCTAACCCATTTTCTCTTGTGTGAGAAAAGGATTGGAAATATTCTTAGGAAAACTTTTCTATGAATCTCACACTTTGTGTCCTTACTGTACATTGTTCTCATCATCTNAGTTAAATAATTAAGCGATTAGGGAATTGGGGACGTAAACAAAACCCCGATGAAAGAGCCGAAATTTTACTTAAACAAACGCCTAACCGAACCAATCTATAGCCGAGTACAGTGGGGACTGATTTCTTCCAAATACTGTATTACAGTGTTTTTCAACCTTCTTGAATATGCGACCCCTTTACAAGTTAAAAAATTCAAGCGACCCCCCTAGGGCCATATTAAACTATATCAGTGATTTTAAAAACTATGTATTTAATTTTCTTTCTGTTGAGAAAAATTATTGTTGATTAAAATGAAAATTTCAGAAGAATCGACAATAATTTAACACATAAAGTATGAAACTTCCTTTAATTATAACATTAGGCACAGGGAACTGTTGACTTTTTTTTTAGGATCTGAATTTTCAGCTTCTACTTTTCTACTATTTATTTCCTTTTGCAAATCAGCTCAACACTTTTTCCGCTATCATTTTCTGGGGTGGGCCGTAATTCTCGCTGAAATTGTAGTTTTTTTAATGTAGTGTAGGACCTACAAACACTTGTCTTTTTCTTCTACCCGCGACCCCC